CAGTAGACAGTTTAGGTTTCACTTTCACTTTCACCCAAGAGCCTGCAGGAGTCATGGGCGGGGTGTGTGGGGAGGAGAGAGGAGGGCGCTCTGCCATGAGGAAGTTCGGCTTAAAGACACATCCCAGGGGCGTTTCTGGTCCCAAAAGGCGTTTCTGGTCCCCACCTGTCGTTTTGCTCCTCAGCATGGCTGCTTAAAAATGCTGCAGGATTTCTCAAACATGCATGAATGAGTCAAAGCAAGGCTTTGGGCACGTTTTTTATGAGAGTATAACATTATAACATGAAATAAAACTCAAAAAAGTTGATTTTACATGATATTGCCCCTTTAAAAGGTGTGCAGTTTTAATTTAACTTCTACTACTGCAATTTAACTTCAGTTTCTGAAGACAATCTGCTCTTGGTACATCCACACATTCCTTCCATTTCTTGCTCCCTGATAGTAAAATGTCTCAACTGCAACCACAATTCCAATGAAGTTTACTGTTCAAATACATGAACTTTGTTTTTGCAAATAGTTACTCATTTACAAAAGGATTTGCAAATCATGGTATTCTGTTTTACTTTATGTTTTACACAACAAACCAACTTTATTGGAAATAGGGCTGTACAAAATAAAAGCCCAGTTGCTTAGTTTTAAAATTTTATTTGGGTTTCACAAGCATCTGTATGACTTAACAACATAAATTTATTGAAATATTGCGTAAACTTTAAGCAACAGAACCATTTCTTGCCTGTTGTATTTAAATGTGGAAATGTCGAGTCTTCACCCTACCTCTGAGCTTCTTTTGCCAGTTCATCTCGTTGAAGAGGTCCTCTGACCGCATGAAGAAGTCGTTAATCTTACTGCCCTGCTCGTCTCTCTCCGTGGTGTAGTAGACCCGTAGCTTCGACTCTGAGGTCAGGAACTCACAGATGTTAGGTACAGGAAACACAATCTCCTCCATGGTGCGATCCAAACGCACAATCTACGTAAAAACACCCATAGAGTCATTCAAGTGGACACGTGCRACATCTTCCATACAAACATGCAGGAAACGTAAAGCTTTTATTTTATTTATTATTCTGGTGCCAGGTTTGAGTGTTTTGACCTCTATCTGAGCCGTGTGCTTGGCATAAAACTCTAGGGCCTCGTCTCCCTCTCCGCTGGCTCCTCCTGGCTTCAACATCATGGAGAGCTCTTTATTATGGCGCGCCAACTGTACGAAGGACACAAAGCCAGCAAGTGTGCTCCTGTTATAAAACAGCTGATGTAAAAGAACAGAAAACATGAAAATGTTGTAGAAATAAACATCAAACCTGGTGAGCTAAAATATAGATGTTGTGTCCAACATTTCTGGGTGACGCAGGATCATGTTCCTCCTCTTCTACAGTATCCTCTTCATCAATTATGTCCTCAAACTCTACCTCACCTTGAAGGTAGGCCTTTTTTATAACTTCCACCTGTAGAGACAGACACACCCAAAACACCTTTAAATTTTCCAAACATAACCTGCGATATTACAACACAACTATTAACTGAGTGGAGCTGAGACTGAGAAGCTTTTCAGTAAAAGTTTAAAATGTACAAAACCCATCTCGCACCAGCTCTTTAGGCTTCATGTTGTACAGGATCCTCTCAGCATTCTCACTGTCGTGTCGGCTCTCCATGATGGCGAGCAGCAGCTTGGACGCATTGTTCTGGGAGGAAAAATGAAAAACAGTCATAAGAAGGGAAGCCTAAAAGTAAAATGCCAATTAACCCTGGTCTCTAATAGGAAAATTAGCTATTTGTCCTATAATTCAGGCATAAAATGGAACTAAGGGACAAATATCTGAGGTCTATTAGTAATACTTTAGAAAATTACCAATAACCTTTAAACCCAAAGCTTCAAACCTCACCTTGAGCTCCAACACAAGATCCATCCGTTTCTTTCCAAGTGGGTTGATATCATTGAGAATTAGTGCAATAATTATATCAATACCATTGGACTCGTGAGTGGCTATGCAATTCTGCAAGAAATATGGAAGAATTTATGTATAAAAAAGACATTTTGGTTTAGTAGAGCCTGAAACCTTCCTGTTTTCGTTGTGTTTTCTGTACCTGGTTTTCATGGCAGGGGCCTTGACAGTACTCTGTCAGACTCTCCAAAGTTTGGTTAATGAGGGCAACGTTCTTCTCATTGATGTACAGTCCCAGTAGGCCGAGGCCCCCTGTGGTGCTGCCACAGATGCAGTCTAAGAACTGCAGGGTCTCACACACCAGGTTGTAGTTGTTCTTTTTGTTCTGACAACGAAGGAAGTTCTAGGAAACCCAAAAACATGCAGTGACACTGGTTAGATCGCAGGGTGAGAATGGTGTCCGCATGAACTTCAATGGATTCATTACAGTCTGTGTGAAATCCAGCAGAGTTAATTATCCACTGGATACACAGATCTTTTTAGATGCTAGTATAAAACTTTAGAAAAACATGAACAAGACAAATGTAGTTGTCAACTTAAAGGTTTATTTTTTTGTTCGTATGACCTGCTATTTTAAATAAAACTCTATCACTCTAAGATTTTATTTATGAGATTTTAAAGCAGTGATAATGTTGAGATTATCATTATCACGGATCAGAGAGAATCTTGGATATCTCAGAGAAAATTAAATGCATCCTAATCTGGAGGTTATCTGTAAAAACCAGATTGCTCGGTCAGTAATACCTGTAGGTCACGGTTGTGATTCTCACAAAGTAGCTGAAGGAAGCGAAGAATAGGTTGCATGATAACAATCACAAAACTCATCTCCCCCTCATCCTGATTCTTGTCCCCGGAGCTGGGCTGGCCATCTGCTGAGGGAAAGTGGTCCTCTGGGTCAGCTTCTTGTCGATAAGAGTTAAAGGCCTTCTTAGTAGCAGATGAGGCCTCTAACAGTTGCTCTTTCACATCCTCTGTCATGGTTATTGTCGTTTCTCGTACTGCATCAGAGGTGGGAAAAAAATCACAACTTACACTAGTACCAATTCAAAATTCCTGTTTAAATGTTGGAAAAAATAATCTCCAGCTGTGATCTACTGTGATGAGTAATCTCTGACCTTTTTTGCGGACAGGGATATCTTTATCCTGGCTGTCATCGTCCCTCTTCCTGTTTCCCAGGTCGCTTGTGTTGACTGTCACAGTGGCTTTGATCTCCTGCTGAGCTGACTTCATACGGTCATAAAAGACCCGGAAGAACTTTTCTGAGTTCTTGTCATCAGTCAGACGTAAAAAGAAGGAACGCTGAATACACAAAGAAAGATGGCAYGACTTCATGAGAATCATTTCCAAAACCTTTAGCTCCAGTTACTGTAAACAGGGAGGATTGCTAAGATATTGTCTTGAAATCTTTAATAAAAATAAGTAAATAAGTATATGTGTATATATATATACAGGCATACATAAATATATATATATATACATATATATTTACATATACACACATATGTATACATATACATACATATATATATATACATATACATACACATACATAAATATATATACATATATACATACATACATAAATACATATATACATATATACATACATACATATATACATACATAAATATATATATACATATATACATACATAAATATATATATACATATATACATACATAAATATATATATACATATATACATACATAAATATATATACATATATACATACATACATAAATACATATATACATATATACATACATACATATATACATACATAAATATATATATATTGGGCAACTTACAAAGCCATTTGTATTGAAAGATAAGATGAAACAAAACAAAAAACAAAAACTAAAGGAGTCAACTTTGTTGTGGAAAGTCTTTTACCACAAGGATGTAGCATCAACTTTAATAGCCATATACTGTATATAACTGTAAAACTTACGTTAGGGAAATGTTGGGCCCTTTATGGGAAACTAGACGTTAGCTAAGGTGGATACAGTGTCCCCACAGGATGGTTCCATAAAGAATGTAAACAAAGTAAACATTTCTCTTTTTAAAATAGCTTCCGTAAAATCAGGGATGGGCAACTTCCGTCTGACCCATTAATAAAAAAATATTTTAAAAATCTTTGGGAGGTACTAGAGCTATCTATTCACAGACTTTAAAGACAAACCTATGTGTCTAGTCTGCTTTGAGACGCTTTCTCAAAGGATTTTAATAAAATTTCCCACTACAACATGTTGTRCAAAGCTAAATATGAGAGGTTTACTGAAGATGCRATAAACAGCAACTTTTTACAAGAACCATGCAGGAGTCTGCACTCAAGGCATCTGATATCATTGATTTCAGCTCACTAAAGTATTTMTTTTTTGTTTGCTTCAAACTTTTTGTATTCATATTTATTAAGAGTTTATTAAGAGTACAACTGCTATGCATGTATTTGAAATAAGTTAAGTTACTGCACTGTATGTTGGTTTAATAAACATATTTATACACACAAACATTTTTAAAATGGACCTTCTGGTAGTGTCAACAAAAAAATTGCATCCCCTTCCATCAAGTTGCCCATCCCTGACAAATGTCAATGTTAAAAGAACTGTGCTGCCAATAGATATCTGTTGTTTTAACAAGTTTACTGTGGTGGCTATGAATCTTTAAAAGATGACCAAAATCGACCTGATTGATTATCTGATTGGTYAGTCCTATTCATGGGAATTTATTAGAATCGGGTTTTTCTTTTATTATTTTTATAACTTACAAGACATTCTGAGTAGGGTTGGGCATAATTGTATCRTGTGCAATTAATCRTCAGAAAAACATTGATTATTTTTTTGGCACTCGATGATTAATACGATTAATGCCACCAGGCAGACTCCGCTTGGTGCTCCTCTCCGCTTCAAATATGATGAACCTAAAAAAAAACATTCTGCAATTTTTTAATTTATCTATCAACACAATTTAAAATTTGATGTATAGCCTGAAGTCTGTAATTTTAATCGTCAAATTATTTGTTATCGGCTAAATACCCCAATTCATCATAATAAATTTTTTTGCCAAAATTACCCAACCCTAATTCTGAGTGAAACAAAAATTAGAGATTGATTCTTAATTTGGGTCACAACAAGTTTTCATGGTCTCATCTCACAAAGTCATTTTGATATGACAAAAACTCGCCCTATCAGAATTTTCACACACTAAATCATCGCAGCGAAGGAAATCTAAGATATGAGAATTTAACGCTGAAATTACGGCTGCAGAACGAGGTCACAAAGAATTAGAGCACTTACAAGCCTGCCAGGGACAATCTATACACCGTGTCCCAACCCACAAGGCTGTTGTTTTGATTATGTAAGAGCTGTTACTGCTGCAGTATATGGAAAGGCTTTTACCAGCCAAAGTAGCCTTGTCACAGTAACGGGGTGAARAAAAAAAAACKAAATGAGAGGGAGAAGCCTGGTCTACTTACACAGATAGGGAGAAAGAGACGGTGCAGATTGAAGGTTGGATGCAAAAACATATATARAAATATTAGGAAAGGAGGGGAAATATGGAGAAAAATTGTGTGATTGAGCAAGTGGAAAAGAGGGCAAAAGATAACGAGGGAAGCAAAGTTATCAGGCAGTATTTAGGCCAGTTGAGATAATCACCTGCTTTTCCACGTTACATTAAAAGCTGAGCAACAGAAGAAAAGAAAATGACGATCACAACAAAGCTGAGCTGATGTGTTTATCTCTCCAAAGAAACAATGTCAAAACTCAAAGCTTGTTCTTCAAAGCCTTTTGTCCGCCCCACCCCAACCCTCCACCACTGAGCTGTAGGCCCCCTGCACGTACTCACGCTGCCAAAACCAAGAGACAAGGAGAAAGGCAGCAAGKGGGGAAGAGGGGAACTGCCAGGCAAGGCCATCGAGCAACAAACAACATGAGGATAGAGTGGAGAGCGTGGCGACAGGATTAGCTGCACCGCTGACACTCCAATCAGAGTTTACAAGTCATAGCATGCATGTGGAGTGAAGCAGGGGGTGGGGGTGGCAACTGTCACGGCAGCTCATATAACTCTGTCCTCCATGGACCTGCTAAACCCTGAGCCTGCAGGGAGGGTGGGACATGGGGTGCATGGCCAGGACAGCACACATAGATCAGAGGAAACGCAAAACAACTCTCACCCTTAACCATTACATAACCGGCACACACACACACACACACAGGCTGTGTGTGTTTGGCTCACACCAAAACGCTTCCTGACTCATACACCGACAGAAAAAAACTGGGTCAGCTGTCTTTGGAATCAGCACATGCCAGTTTTTTAGAGGTCACACCCACATATCACACACACGCTACACAATACAGTAATTCTCTCCCTAACTTCATCACTGCCAGCTTTATTCTTATGTAAGCAAAGCCTCTGCTTTATTAATGCAGAGCTGCTCATTTCAAGGAWATGCCAGGTTCGAGATCCTCCAATCAGTCTGAGTGAGCAGCCGGACTCGTGTTGGGCCTTGGCAGGGTCAGAACCGTGCCAGCCGGGGCATTTTATCTTTACAAGAGCATGAGATTTCACTGTGGCAGAGCCAAGCCCACAGGAGCAGAAGGCCAGTGTAAGGGTGGCGTAAGAGGATGAGATGTTTCTGGACAAGAAAAGAAACGTTCTCCAGCAGCACTGCAGCCAAATGGTTATTTTTTAAGACAAGTTTCTAAGAAAAGCTTTTTTTTTTGTAAACCAAGTGCATCACCGAAACACAGACAGAGGCTCTGAAGGAAGAAAAAAAAAGCCCCACAGTGACCTAACTTTCGTTTTCTGAATTCTTTAGAAATGCTTTTGACAATGAACCAGAAGTGAAAACCTTAACTTTTATGTCTAACCACATTTAAACCTCTGAAGTTTCGATGCCCGTCCTATAAGATGATCATGTAATAAAATGGTAACAACATAACAACACCCTCCCTTGAGTGTTTTGGTTGCACTGAAAGGAAAGCAAAGACAAAAGCGAAGAGATGACGTCGGAGAGGATGTGCCACACGGCAGTCAAAGGCAGAGAATGGAGTGATAGTAGCAGAGGAAGACTGGAAGAATGGACAAACATCTCAGGGCCCCCTGTGGTGCTGGGTAAACACAGAGCCTGTCTGTAACTGTGGAGACGAACCCTGAGAGGAATGAGATGGAGAGGACCGGGGAGAGGTGGGGGCGGGTAACACTGAAAAACAAGGTCATAGCGCTTTCCCTTCTCTCCTTCCGCTCAGGCACTTGGCATCAACAAAGGGATGTTATGTAACAGCTATTTATACTTGCGCTCCCTCTTTTTCCCTCTCTCGCCCTGCCTCTCACGTCAGGCAGCAACACATGCAAACCAAATGCAACGACTGCTCGGCTCCCCTCTCTCTCCAAGACTTTTCCACATTTCTTTCATCTTCTTTTCTTCCACAAATCAACCACCTCTATCAGAAGTCTTTACTAAGATACTAAAACAAAACGTGCTTTTGTTCTGTTGGGAAATTTGTTTTAGGCTTGAAGTTGCTGCTTTACTATTTAAAATACACAAACTCAAGGTTAAAAAGCAAAAAAGAAAAAAAAAGTTTTGTCTTTTTCTCCATACTTGGTACTCCATGACTTTTATAACTGATCAAGTAATCGCTACCAATAACTATTAGACATAACATCCCTTTGTAGATGTTTAAACTTTCCCTTTAAGCTGCTTCTGACAGTTAATAAATCACCAAGGAGGTTCTATAGAACAGTTGGAGTGTGCAGAAACCATGTGACCGTGTGATCGGCTGGTGAAGCTAACGGCTAACGCAAAATGGTCAAGAGTCTACATTTCCCATTGCTGTACATGTTGACAACAGAGCAGAAAAAAAGGACTGACGATGTAGAAATCATAAAAAATATTAATAATAATACTAATCCAATTATTATTAATAGTTTACAGTTTATATAATCTAATGTTTTAAATAATGCCAGAAA